GAAAGAAGCCGTGGTGTGAGGTGATGGGGATGGAGGGTGATGATGAGGATGAACAGGATGGTAAGGGAGGCAGCAAGGGTGAGAAGTCAAATGTCTAGTCGAGATTTAGCAAAGTCACATTCCATACGACAGCAAAGCAAGTATAATTTTTATTTAAATGCACAAGTACACACTGGCTGCAAGCCCAATTACATGGAAGAGAATGTGATAATGGAGTAAATTTTGAAAAAAGGTGGCGGAAGATGGCGGACGGTGGCAAAGCAACAGGGAGGAAAATTCAAGAGCAAAATTAACAATTGCACAAATGTGAGAGTACCTGAGATCCAGGGTATCTGTATGTTAGTACATGTATTTTAGTATTTCGGTAACATTTGGACTGGGTACCTTCGCCAGGCTCAAAAGCAAAATCTCTTTGTCGAATTGACAGGTGATATTGATCTCGCACAGGAAACCGGTGTTTTGGGCTGAGGTTCACTTATTGTTATTCCCCATGTCAGTGAATTTCTGGTGTGTTTCTATTATTTACAGCTGTCAATTGCACAGTACCGAATATCACAAATGGGCAGCAAGCTGTATCGGAAATATCTTTCCAGCAAACAGCCAACTATTCATGCAGTGCTCATCATGTGTTAGTTGGAGATGCACAGCCAACATGCCAGGCTAATCGCACGTTGACTTCAACACCCACATGCAAAGGTGAGCAACGTGTACATTGCTGAAGTTGAAATTTCTCCACCGTATGCTACAGGAACCTTGAGACTGCTACTGCAGCTCGCAACAGCCATTTTCTTGTTGCAGCTGTTTCAAGTCACGTGCTGGGTCGCAAAAGTGGTATTGTGAACTGGCCTTTCACAATTTGGGATATCGGACAGATTAGTGAGGCTCTGCTCCAGGTTACGGGGTTGCGACGCGAAGAATCTCCGGACCACTCTTTGCGTTTCCGTGATGCAAAGAAAATCTGTTCTGCTTTACGTCACGTAGAGACAGCACATGGAATGTGTACTGGGAATTTCTCCTTCCATATTTGGTATTTGATCGATGCCCAGCAGGTCTCTATGCTTTTCTCTGCATGTGCCAAAATGTAGACAACATCATCTACAAAAGTAGAAATCTGGACTCAAAACACGCGAAGGTGTAGACTCTAGCCCAGACTCTTAAAAATGTGAACCATACAGCTTGCTTTAGAGTGCCTAGGTCTATTGATTTATGAGCTAATAGTGTAACCTTTCATTTACTGTTTTCTAGCTGTGACCTGCCAGGTACCAACTATCAGCAACGGGACATCTAGCCAAACAGGGATGATCAGATATCAAGAATCGGTAACCTACACCTGCAATACTGGCTACACACTGAGTGGAGTGAGAACATCAACATGTACAGCTGATGGGACTTTACTATTACCCAGTTGTCTAGGTGAGCAAAAGGGTATCAATGTACTGATCTGCTCTCGATTCTCTTTGGTCTCTCTCCATAATATTTAGTTCACAGTGGTTGGCTACCATGTGACTTCTCATAAATAGTGGCAGTCTAATTACGAAGAGTGTGGTCCAGCCTTCTGGATTCTTCTCAGTGGAGCCTCCACTAATCTCTGACTTTTCCTCAGATCCCTTTTTGCTTCTGTTTTCGTTTCGTTCTCCTGGTGTGTGCCGGACGGTGGTAACAGAAAGGTTACCAGAAGAACGAAACAAAAATGGAAGCAAAATGGATCTGAGGAGAAGCCAGAGACAAGCTGAGGCAGGACTGAGAAGAATGGAGAAGGCGGGACCAGGAGAGGCAGGTGAAGGTATGGGCGCACCAGTGCACTCTTCAAGGAGAAAGAAGCGGTGGTGTGAGGTGATGGGGATGGAGGGTGATGATGGGGATGAACAGGATGGTCAGGGAGGCAGCAAGGGTGAGAAGTCAAATGTCTAGTCGAGATTTAGCAAAGTCACATTCCATACGACAGCAAAGCAAATATATTTTTTATTTGAATGCACAAGTACACACGGGCTGCAAGCCCAATTACATGGAAGAGAATGTGATAATGGCGTAAATTTTGAAAAAAAGGTGACGGAAGATGGCGGACGGTGGCAAAGCAACAGGGAGGAAAATTCAAGAGCAACTTTTCAGCTGTAAATAATAGAAACACACCAGAAATTCACTGACATGGGGAATAACAATAAGTGAACATCAGCCCAAAACACCGGTTTCCTGTGCGAGATCAATATCACCTGTCAATTCGACAAAGAGATTTTGCTTTTGAGCCTGGCGAAGGTACCCAGTCCAAATGTTACCGAAGTACTAAAATACATGTACTAACACGACTACCCTGTCTGCGTCCATATTGGGTATGGACAAGAGTACATGAAAACCAGAGTGTGCAGCTTGAGGCATTTTCTACTATGGGTGTCTGTCACGGCGGAATTCCGTGATTACATCATATTTGGCACAGATTTGAGGCGGATTTGAGGCGTAGTGCGTGCAACTGAGCTACAGTTGTGCAGAGAGAGACCTGTTTTCCCTGCTCTTGTTGTTCGAGATCTACAAGTAGTCGTGTTGGGTTCTCCGCTCTCTTCCCTCTAAGTTAGTGATAATACCGAACAGGGCAGCTGTAATTGGTGATGGAGCCGGCGATGCTAATTGTATGTGTATGTCTGTGCAGGCATGTTTGTGCGTGTGTGTGTGTGTGTGTGTGTGTGTGTGTGTGTGTGCGTGTGTCTGTGTCTGTGTGTGTGTGTGTGTGCGTGTGTGTGTGTGTGTGCGTGTGTGTGTGTGTGTGTGTGTGTGTGTGTGTGTGTTGCGTTTGTGCCTGTATTACTGCAGATATCAATGAATGCCTGTCCAGTCCGTGTGCTAATGGAGGCACGTGTACGCCACTCGTTGCCAGCTTTGAGTGCAGCTGTCCTCCTGCATGGGCGGGTGCAACCTGTTCCATTCTCACACCAGGTTAGGGAGTTCTACAATGCTGAAGAGAGCAGCAGCAGGAGCTGCAGCTCTCTTCATGCACTCAGCACTTTCTCAGGACACTCTACTGTTGAAATTATACTTATGTGCGGCGGCATGTTATGACCCCGCCGACACTAGCATTTGTTCAGCAGCATACCGTATTTCCCCGGATATAAGTCTTACACCTTTTTAACACAAAAATCAAGGGTAAAATAGGGGTGCGACTTACAGTCGAGCACGACATACTACCGAAGTCAATATAACAAAACAATATTGCTCAGACCTGAAAATTGGGGTGCGACTTATAATCGGGGAAAATACGGTAATGCGGGGCCTCATCGTTTGGATTTGTTGTTTTTCACCATCAGTCAAACAAATTCAAATTGTCCCCGTATGAATGCTATTTCTGGGGGCCTATCCATGTGGTTGTCATCCTTGTGACGTTCTCTTCAGAGTTGGCAGTGTTTTAGAACGATCCATTGTTTTGTGTCTGTTCGCGTGTCTGTTCATGTGTGTGTGTGTGTGTGTGCGCGCGCGCGCGCGTGTGTGTGTGTGTGTGTGTGTGTGTGAGTGTGTGTGTGTGTCTGTGTGTGTGCGTGTCTGTGTGTGTGCATGGGTGGGTATGTGTGTGTGTGTGTGTGTGTGTGTGTGTGTGTGTGTGTGTGTGTGTGTGTGTGTGTGTGTTTGTGCACATTGTGCACATTGTGGCGGCGACACCTCGGCTGCATTGCCTAACCAGACTATGATGAATGTATGTCCAACCCATGCCTGAACAACGCTACATGCATCGATCAAGTGGGTGCATTCCAATGTCGCTGTAGAGCGGGTTTCACCGGTGATAGGTGCCAGTCATGTAAGTATTTGATCATACAGTCAGACCTCGCTTAACCGCACACATCCGTTTTTTTTCACAAAAACATCCGGATAGGCGAAGGAACCGGATAATTGAACACACATACTGTATGCATGCATGGCATATGCTGTAATCGGCGAGGGATCCAGATAAAAGAGGACTGGATAAGCGAGGGTTGACTGTATTTGGAGCAGATCTGAGGCGGGAAGTGGCGTAGTGTGTACAACTGAGCTACAGTTGTGCAGAAAGAGACCTGCTTGAATCCTGCTTGTACGCACTACATCGCTAGAATAATGTAATCCCGGACTTCGCCATGGCAGCCACCCATCCGAGCAGCACACTCTGTGTTTCATGTAATCATTGTCCAGCACTGTTGCTAGAAGGAGCCATGGATGAATGCGTGATCCCAGTCATTGATCATCACTGTTGCTAGAAGGAGCCATGGATGAATGCATGATCCCAGTCATTGATCGTCACTGTTGCTAGAAGGAGCCATGGACGAATGCATGATCCCAGTCATTGATCATCACTGTTGCTAGAAGGAGCCATGGATGAATGCATGATCCCAGTCATTGATCGTCACTGTGGCTAGAAGGAGCCATGGATGAATGCATGATCCCAGTCATTGATCGTCACTGTGGCTAGAAGGAGACATGGATGAATGCATGATCCCAGTCATTGATCATCACGGTGGCTAGAAGGAGACATGGATGAATGCATGATCCCAGTCATTGATCATCACGGTGGCTAGAAGGAGCCATGGATGATGTAGACATCTATTCAGTCACTCACAAGACAGCCATTGTGCTAAACAGATCTTCTTTAGTTCTCTATCAGAAGTGCGCCATGTCATCTCTCTCGTGCTATACATAAAGCGGTACAAGCACGTGCATGCCTGCACATGCGTACATAGTACTACATACAACTGCATGTACGATATCTACATTACCCCCCCCTTCCCTCAAAAAAAAAGAAGAAAGAGAAAAAAGGGAAACAAAAACAAAACAAAAACACTTGCATCCGTATCCTGCAGCTTGCAGAGGTACGTACGCACATGTGTTGGAGTAAAAGGGAGACGGGAAGCGTTGCAACTATTAGAAATACTCTGACTCAAAACTTGAGGCAAAAACACCATGAGTTTGAGTTACAATGCAAACTCGACCAATAAGGGGAAAAAATAAAGAAAAATCTAAATATTCACAAGATAGTTAGAAGATTCTAAACAACGCCAATCTGGTAGCGATTGAAGCCACTCATTTAGTAATGCATGACTCGACGACTCAGATGTCAGTTTCACGTGCTTTCTCTGTAAGCTTGATCTGACGGCCAGCTCTGGTCTGTACGCCCTCGCGGAATACACTTGGACGAGATGTTGGCGGTGACAGTGACATACAGGCCGGTGTTGCAGGTGGTGCTGTCGTCTCCGGTGAAGCTGCAGGAGACAACGGCAATGTGAGCGCAGTTACCGGAGCTTCGGGCCTGGATGCTGCGCTGCTCGCTGACGGAAGGCTTGTTGGGTCGGACACTGGCAGTGCTGGAGCACACACTGGCTCTGGCACATGCTCCCTCTCTGACTGTGCCGGAGGTTCACTCATGGGTGCTTTCTCCGCTGCTACTGCTGCTGCTGCTGCTGCTGCTGCTGCTGGTGCTACAAACTCGGTGACATGCTGACGGTTCCGGAGCAGTATGCGTGACCCATCAGTGACCCCAACCTGACGACCATACTGCTCTACTACCTTCCATTCTTTTCGAGGGTCTCTATACCCATCATGGAGCACTACCCGCGTACCTGATGGCAAATGGGGTAACTTGCGGACACCTCGGCGCGAGTGACCTTCAACCATTGCTGCTTTCGCCTTGATCTGCTCAGATGGGTTGACGATCTGTGGGGTGATGGATGCTGGAACCCGTGTCCGAATGACTCTGCTGAACAACGCTTCGCCCAGCGATGTACCTAGCATCCGGTGCCGCGAATTGCGAATGTCGAACAAGACTTGAGTGATGCGGCGGTGTAGCGGTAGATGAGGTCTCAGACTGGCAACTCGTTCTTTCACCAGACGATGTAGTCGCTCCACCATACCGTTAGAGCGGGCATACCGGGGGCTAGACTCGCAATGCTCAACACCCAACTGAGCGAGAAACTTGGACATCTCAGTGGATGCAAACTGTGGCCCCCAATCCGAGACGAGTGTTGAAGGCAGACCAAACCGTGCCAACAACTCCATCAGCTTGTCGATCATACCCGTTGTCGTAGTATTGGACAGTGGTAGAAGCTCTGGCCAGCGGGAACCATAATCAATAGCAGACAGGAACTTGGCTCCCTCAATGGTAACAAGATCAATGGCCAGTTTCTGCCAGACACCTTCTATCTCTGTAGGGAGGAGCTGTTGCGCTGGATTGGAGCGTTTACGCCAGCATTCAGAGCATTTCTCTGCAAACAGATTGGCATCCTTCATGAGACCTAGCCACCAAACCCGTTCGCGAAGGGTATCCCGGAATGCATCGATGCCTGGATGACCTTCATGTGCTAGTCGCAGCACTGCTGGGCGGAGCTCTTCTGGAATGACGTAGCGATTGTCTAGCATGACAATCCCGTCAATGACTGTCAGCTGATGGCGTAGCAGGAAGTAAGGCTCTTCCGTTTGGATGCACCCTGACCAAACTGATGTGCCCACTCTTTGTCGGACGCTGCTCAGCGTCGGATCAGAGTCTGTGGCCTGGCGAATATCCTTGGAACGAACCGGACAAGCCTCGAGAATGAGACTAACGAATTCCGCCATTGAACGTGCCTCTGCAGGTGAAGCTGTGCGACCAGGTAGAGGAGCTCGAGAGAGGGTGTCAGCACAAACCATCTGCTGACCAGGGACGAACACCAAGCTGTAGCGATAGGGCATCAATGCGACCAGCCATCTCTGAAGCCTCGGTGGCACTTCGTCGAACGGCTTCTGGACGATAGAAATAAGCGGCTTGTGATCCGTAAACACTTGCACTTCTCGGCCTAGTACATACTGCCGAAAGCGAGTCAGGCCGAATACCACTCCCAGCATCTCTCGTTCCAGCTGAGAATAGCGTGACTCAACATCTGATAGAGAGCGACTGGCACATGTCACTGGTACCCAACAGCCACTGGTATTCTTCTGCCACAGGACTGCTCCCAAACCGTCTGGCGACGCATCACAGCTGATAGCAGTAGGGACGTCCAATGCTGGTTGAAAGGATGCCAACGCTTGCAAAGCTGACGCTATACCAGCCTTTGCTGAGGTGAATGCCTGCAGGACTTCATCATCCACACTGAAGGGATCACGCTTTGCTAGCCTGCGCAGAGAAGCCGTGATCTGGGCCAAATTCGGAATGAACTTTCCAAGGTACGTAGCCATCCCCAGGAACCGTCGCACATCAGAGATAGATTTCGGAGGGGCCAGCTCCTGGATGGCTTGTAACTTGTCATCATCTGGGGACAAGCCGGTCGCACCTAGCCAATGTTCTAGATACTTCACACGGTCCTGGTTCAGTCGGCACTTGGTCCAGTTGAGTTGGAGGTTAGCTGCTCGCAGTCGCTGCTTGACTGCTTCTAGCCGTGCATCGTGTTCTGCTTGATTAGAGCCAAACACTAGGATGTCGTTGATGTAGACGATGACTCCTGGCAGGCCTTCCAGAATGTCGGACACCACTCGCTGGAAAATCTCAGGCGCACATGCAATACCGAAAGGTAAACGCTTGAAACGGAACAGGCCACAGTGCGATGAGAAAGTCGTTAGAGGCCTTGCTTCTTCTGAGAAGAGTAGCTGATGGAATCCAGATTCTGCATCCAGAACTGAGAAGACCCCTGCGCCATCAAGCTGAGCTGTGATCTCGTCAACGGTTGGAAGAACGTTGCGCTCACGTGTAACTCTCTGTAGTCCACGCATAGTCGCAATGCTCCATTCGGTTTGCGGACTGGGACAAGTGGTGACACCCACGGCGTGGCTTCCTTGACGGGTTCAATGATATCCAACTTGGTCAGCCGTTTCAGCTCGGTCTCGATGTCAGCCCGGATACTGAAAGCTGGGCGTCGTGGTGGCTGGGCTAGAGGCTTTGAACTGTCTTCCAGAGAGATTTCGATGGGTGACACGTTCACCACGTTTGCTTGTGACAGGAGGTTCAGCTCCTTGATGACATCCTGTCCGAAGAGAACGGAGTGCTGACTGGCTGCTACCACAAAGCAACTGCACTTCACGTTCTTGCCACCATGTGAAATGTGGACGTCAGCCATGCCCAAAGTCTCTACGAAACCGCCATTGTACGCTTTCAGCAAGCGATCACTCTTGCACGTGGGCTTGATCACATCATCAGTGAGGATCGTCCGAGTTGCACCTGTGTCTAACAGTCCAGTGCACAGCTCACCATTGACTTTGAGTGTAGTCTGGAATGTCTTGTCGCCTGCGAGTGCCGAGCTACTGACGGCGAAAGCGGAGTCGTACATGCGACTTGCATGCTCATACTCATCAGGCTCATCCTCTACTGGCCGGGCTCTTTCTTCGTGTCTTTCCACTTTGTTTGACATGCAGACCGCTGCAAAATGCCCTCGCTTGCCACACTTGTTGCAGGTGACGTTGGCCGCAGGACAGTTACGCATGCCTGGTTTGTGACTACGTCCGCAGTATTTGCACTTCTTTCCCTCTGATCCAGAACCAGCTGCAGAGACAGCTTGCATACGCTGGATGGGCACGGGGAACACAGGCGGTGCGTCACTAGCTCTGGTACTATCGTACAGTTTACTGTCAGTAATCGACGCTTCCAACGCCACTGACTTGGTGACGGCGTCGTTCAGGGTCAGCTTCGACTGTTTCAGCAGCTCCTTTCGAAGCTCAACAGAACGCAGGCCCACGATCAGCTGGTCTCGAATTTGGCAGTTGACAACGGTATCCACAGAAGTGGAGCTGAATTCGCAAACATCTGCCTTTTCTCTCAGCCGCCCAACGAACGAAGTCACCGACTCGCCCTCCATTTGGCAGAGTTGGCGGAATTTGTGACGTTCAGACGTGACATTTGTTGACGGTCGAAAGTGTGCCAACAATGCGTCCGTCAAGGCTTGGTACTCATCTCCAGGTGAGCCATCTTGTGTCTGCTCCACCGTGACAACCAGACCTTTCACAATGCGCCTCACTGCTAATCCAGCCAGATTCAAGAACAAGCGTTTCTTGTCAGCTGCTGCCGTCACTTCACTGATTGAAAGGAAATCATTTATGTCCTCGAGCCAGAGTTCAAAATCAGCACCGACGTTGCTCGCAGCATAGTCAGGAATAAATTCCTTGGGCGTCCTGCCCTTTGTCATTTTCGTTCACTGCGCCAATGTAGACATCTATTCAGTCACTCACAAGACAGCCATTGTGCTAAACAGATCTTCTTTAGTTCTCTATCAGAAGTGCGCCATGTCATCTCTCTCGTGCTATACATAAAGTGGTACAAGCACGTGCATGCCTGCACATGCGTACATAGTACTACATACAACTGCATGTACGATATCTACAGATGAATGCGTGATCCCAGCTAGTCTAGCTAGGGCACTATCCCGGAAAGACATGGGTGTTCTGTTGGAATCCCGCTCGTGCATCCTTCTTCTGCAACAGCACATGTACAGTGTCCATAGCACCTGGAGGTGGTGTAACACCTGGTACACACTGCCGGGTTCGGTAGCAGCAGCATCACTCTAGATGATTGATTTTACGTCCAAGTGTTCATGTCTGTAGTCAGAAACTGCCACTGTACTGCAAGCAAGTGCCACCATATTGTTTCCGTGAACCAGCGCAAGAAATGGCAGGGTTGTGGCTAACTTTGTGTGTGTGTGTGTGTGTGTGTGTGTGTGTGTGTGTGTGTGTGTGCGTGTGTGTGTGTGCGTACATGCGCGCGCGTGTGTGTGTGTGTGTGTGTGTGTGTGTGTGTGTGTGTGTGTGTGTTTGTACGCTTGCAGTGCTGGACTGCCCTGCTTTCCAGCGTCGCGACAGCGGCGGAATCTTCTGCGAGCCGTGCGCGTGTGATCAACTAGGCTCGGAGTCGTGTGACATGACAAACGGCACGTGCTACTGCAAGCCGAGCATTACCGGTAGTGTGTGCGATCGATGCATTGACAACTACTACCAGGCTACGGGCAAGGTGAGTGGCTGTGCTGCCTGCTCCTGCGACTCTGCACGCACTGTCGTCGGCAACACCAGCTGTGACGGCAGGACGGGCATCTGCAACTGTCTGCCGAACTTCAGCGGCTTCAGATGCCAATACTGTTCGCTGGGCTTCTTTGATCTGAGTGCCGGATGCCCGGCGTGCAGCTGTTCCGCCGTGGGCTCACTGCATGCTGTGTGCGACCAGGCAAACAATGGCCAGTGCGCGTGCAAGCCCGGCAGCAGCGGACTCGACTGTGCCCAGTGCCTGCCTGGATTCTTCAAGCAGAACAGCACTTCCCAGTCGTGTGCTACGTCCAAAGACGGTCAGCCGTGTCAAGGTAAGACAAATGCAGCAAGAGAATGATCTGGGATCACTCCTTCACCTTACCCCCACCCCCACCCCGTACCCTCCCCACTCTTCCCTCTCTCCCCACTCACTCCTTCCCCCCCCCTCTCTCTCTCTCTCCCCACTCTCCCCACTCACTCACTCCCCACTCTCCACTCTCCCCACCCTCTCTCCCCACTCACTTTTCCTGTTTGTACATGGAGACAATACTAGTTTCCATCCGCCAGCGAGTTTCTGTGCATGTGCATGCATGGCAATACACTGTACTATCTTATGTTGTTACGTGTGTATGCGAGAGGTTGGTGGCCAGCCAGACGAATTTCCCTTTGTACCAACCCTGGTATAGTGGGCCAAGCTTTGGTAGGGGAGGAAAAGGCGACGAGGGAGAGGAAATGCCAATGTGAATACATTCTGCAGTCACAATAATAACTAGAGTCAAACCTCGTTAGTATGAACACTGATAAGGCGAACTTTCCATTAGTACGAACTAAGGCCAATCCTATGGTTGGCCAGGCATCAATTCAAGTCAAAATTATTCGTTTACGACGAGCTTCTGTACAGCGAACTTTCGCGAAGACGAACTATTTTCAAGTGTGATTTGAACAAAGTCAGTGTGGTCATGTACATGTAGTACGAACTTTCGGTCCACGAGCGTGCGCGTGCGCTGGCTACCTTTTTTCTTCTTTTTTTCAATAGTCGAGGTCATATTGTACGTACAGTGCAAATTGTTTTTAAGCGTGTTTTGAACAAATCAATCAGTGCGTTGTACGAACTTTGGACACAGTCGTGATTCATTGCACTGTGTCATTGTACTTACCTGTTTCTGGTTAATGCTAAGAATAACATGCTTCCCATGTACCACAGCATGCACCTTCACGTAAATACAATCCATCTGATATGCATATCGATTTTTTGTCAGATCTGGATAAGATGAACTCCCGATAAGACAAACAAATTTGTTCAGTCCCTTGAAGTTCGTCCTAACGAGGTTTGACTGTACTAGCATCACGTTTCCCCATACCTGTAGGGTATGTGTGTGTCCCCATACCTGTAGGGTATGTGTGTGTCCCCATACCTGTAGGGTATGTGGGTGTCCCCATACCTGTAGGGTATGTGTGTGTCCCCATACCTGTAGGGTATGTATGTGTCCCCATACCTGTAGGGTATGTGTGTGTCCCCATACCTGTAGGGTATGTATGTGTCCCCATACCTGTAGGGTATGTGTGTGTCCCCATACCTGTAGGGTATGTGTGTGTCCCCATACCTGTAGGGTATGTGTGTGTCCCCATACCTATAGGGTATGTGTGTGTCCCCATACCTGTAGGGTATGTGTGTGTCCCCATACCTGTAGGGTATGTGTGTGTCCCCATACCTGTAGGGTATGTGTGTGTCCCCATACCTGTAGGGTATGTGTGTGCACGTGCGCACATGTATTTGTACGTTATGCTTTCGCTGTATTCACTTCTCCCTTTTCTCTCTCTCTATCTATCTCTCTCTCTTTCTCTCTCTCTCTCTCACCCATAGATTGCCGTTGCTCTCCCGTTGGCTCTAAAAGCAGCCAGTGCAGCGTGACCAGCGGCGAATGTTTGTGCCTACCTGGTTACACGGGACAGCGGTGTGATGAGTGCACGGACGCCGCTCAATACTACACCGAGCAAGCAGGCTGCCTAAGTAAGCGAGTACATATGTCACATGTGTTCCTGGTTGTTCTTGCTCTATATTAGGGACCTTTTGCAACGAAACGAATGCTGATTCGTCGCCTGGGTTCGAGAATTCGTCAGAGTCCCTTACGAGGGCTCGTTTTCACGAATTGAAGCCACTTCATTCGTGACTCGCTCTGAATCCGTGAGGTACACATTTTTTCCCAGGTACACATTTTTCCTTGATTCCATAATCCATGCACGTGTACATGTAAACACACGTACGCCAAGCTATTCGTAGTTGCCATGGAAATAAGCACGACGACTTGCGAAACCTGAATCTGTTTTCAACGAAACAAGGACGAGCCGAATCAAACTTTCGTTTCGCATTCGATTCGCAGCAGATGCGAAAGGTCCCTATTACCTGTAGATTGAATAAATGTCGTGCCGAATTAACGCCGCGGAGACGCAATATTTAAAATAAAACAATAAAAGAACTGACTCTGCCGTCATCACCATGCATCAACTTGTCTTGTTTTTTCTTCTCTATACTGTGCTGTTGTTCAAGTAAGATTTGAAATATCGGTGGCGAAATGTTT